TTTTCCTCTTCTTTTCCCCTTTCCTCCCTCCCCCGGGACTTCTCCAGAGGCTCCATCCCAGCCCCAGCCAGCTGCAGGGACACACGTGGGAAGCCTTTCCCCACCACAAGCAGAAAGATTTGGGGCTCGGGAAGGGGGATTCTGCTTCCCTGGGATCCTGCAGAAATCTCAGAGCTACCTGGAAAGGCAGCACCCTTGGGAGSGGCTTGGAGCATGGCTGGAGCGTGGTGACCTCTGGTGGGAGCCCAGGGGCTCGCTGGTGGCCTGGGGTGACCTGCCACCCTCGTCCCTGGGTGGGGGGCAAGCCAGCTGGTGTCAGATTTCTGCAGGAGGGACATCCGCGGTGTAATTCCCGTGTCCTCAGGAGTTAAAGCCCCGAGCGTTGTCCTCGTTAGCCGATGCAATCATCATTAGGCTGATTAGGCACGGGGGCTGCGAGGGAGCAGGAGGGATCCCGGGGGCTCCTGGGGGGATCGAGGAAGGCCCTCGGGGGTCAGCCCTGGCATTGTCCCGCAGACGAATCGTCCCTCAAGATGAACCAYGTGGAGCACATCCCGCAGAGCCCGGCCAGCCACAGCGGGAGCCACCTGTGGGAGGAGCAGCGGGATGAGCACGGTGCTGACATGCTCAARGCCGACCCCAGGGACACCTTCTTCCTCAGTGAGTGCCCGGCAGTGGGTCCATGCCCATCCCTGCTGGGGTTTGGGGGATGACAAAAGCTGCTGCGGGCACCTGGGTCATCCCTGCCACCCTATGCCTGGCTCCTGTGTGGAGCCATCCCTGCTGGGGACACTTTGGGACGCTCCGGGTGTCTCCACAGCCCCGGCCATCGAGGCATCCCGTGTGGAGAATGTGCTGGTGCCCTGTGCCTACAGCCCCACCTACGTGGTGAAGGATTTCCCCATCGCCCGCTACCAGGGCCTGCAGTTCGTGAGTGTCACCCTGGCCACGGGGACAGGCGGAGACCGGGGCGGGGGTGTTCCCATCCTGAGAGGGTTTGGGTTGAATCCCCGTGCTGGGGGTCACTCAGGTGTCACTGGTGGTGGCCTCGGGTCCCCAGCCCCTYGRGGTGACRCGGCACCRTYGCCCCCCCAGGTCTACCTCTCGTTYGTGTATCCCAACGATTTCACGCGCCTCACCCACATGGAGACGGAGAACAAGTGCTTCTACCGGGAGTCCCCCCTCTACCTGGAGAAGTGGGTACCCATGGCTGGCATTTTGGGGTGCTGCCTGGAGGGGTTGATGTCAGCAGCGCTGGGATGATGTGTCCCCAGCCCCATGTTCCTGTTCCCCAGGGAAGGCTCTTCTTGCCTCTGCTTCCCTGCTCCCTTGGACCCAGCAGCACCCTGGGGTGAAGCTGTGTCACTCCTGGGGAGGCCATTCCTGGGGTATGGGGGCTGCCAGCAGCAGGCAGAGCCTTTTCCTTTTCCTTTTCCTTTTCCTTTTCCTTTTCCCCGGCTGGCTCTGTCCCCATCTCCCTGGGCTGGCAGCGCTCCTGAATTTGGGAACCCCGGCTCCCTGCACACATTCCCTCAACGTTGCCTTCTCCCAGGCCCTCACCTTCCCTCTGCATCCYCAGGTTCGGGTTCTACAAGTACATGAAGATGGACGAGGAGGAGGAGGATCCACGGCAGCGAGCGTTTCTCTTCCTGGGCCCCGACAGTGAGTCACAGGCGTCCCACATCTGGGTGGGCATTCCTGGGTGGGCATTCCTGGGTGGGCATTCCTGGGTGGACATTCCTGGGTGGGCATTCCTGGGTGGACATTCCTGGGTGGGAATCCCGGAATGGGCATCCCCTAGTGCCCCCAGCTCTGTTCCCTCGCCTCAGCCCCTCAGGTTCCTCTCCTGCTGGGATCAAGCTCTGCCTCCTCGTCTTGTCCTCAGGGCATTCACCCGTGYCCTCACTCCCTAGATTTCCTGGACGAGGATGAGGAGGAGGAAGGAGTGGACAGCCCCGAGCCCACGGACCCCCCTCCCAAGGCCAGGGAGCAGAGCTCGGGGCCAGCACCCGGAGCCAGAGGGAAGGACCCCRCGCCGGTCACGAGCGATTACGGAGATGACCTGGACTATTACAGCTTCCGGCGGCGGCGGGGCCGGGCGCGGGCCGAGCTGGGCACCCCCGGGCAGCTGGGGCTGTGGGGCACGGCCAGCCCTGCCGTCCTCCCCGAGGATCCCGCGCCGGAGCRGGGCCCGGGCCGGGCTCTCCAGTGGCTGCCGCAGGATGAGGGCGAGGAGGACGAGCTGGGGCTGCCGGCAGCGTCCCCAAAGCGCAGCATGGCCCCGGGCCTCCAGCCCCGCCTCTCCATGCCCATCTTTGGTGGCAAAGCCAAAACACCGGGTCCCRGCGAGGATGGGAAGCCCCAGAAAAGCCCGGAGAAGGTTTACGTGACCCGGCTGCAGCCCGGGAAGCGCAAAGCCCCGGCCCACGGGCCAGCCTTCCCTGACATCTTCCTGTACCCAAAGCCCGTGAAGAGAGTCCATGTGCGCTCCAGGAGCCCGCAGAAGCATCCTGTGGTCCCCAGCAAGCTCCGGGCCATCCCCGGCCACCGGAGCCCCTGGCTCCTGAGCAGCATCTCCAGGGAGAGGGACCCTGCCTGGCGGAAGAGCGGCCGGAGATGGGAGCGGCCACCCAAGCAGCGGCTGCTGCCCGGCCTCCTGGCCCTGGGCACCGCRGGGCTCTTCAGCCACGAGGACACCACCCCTGTCCCGCGGGGGACGGCCACCACTGCCGGCTACAACTCCTCCGAGGCCCCCCGCTCCGAGGGGATACGGGCGACGTCCTTCCTGAAGGCGTCGGGAACGACGGCGGCGTCACAGCAGGAGGAGGGGAAGGGCCGGGAAGAGGAGGAGGAGGAGGACGAGGAAGAGCTGTCAGACTATTCCTACGAGGTGGGGGAGCTGCAGCAGGGCTGGCTGGAGGACTCCATCAACTGGCAGCGGACGTTCAGCGTGGGCTCCGTGGACTTCGAGCTGCTGCGCTCCGACTGGAACGACCTGCGCTGCAACGTGTCGGGCAACCTGCAGCTGGCCGAGAGCGAGGTGGTGGACGTGGTGGCCCAGTACATGGAGAGGCTCAAYGAGAAGAACGGAGGGTACGGGGGCGGCGGGGATCCGGGGGGTGGGCAGCGGATGATGGTGACGATTCAGAGGCCGCTGTTTGCCCCGCAGCATCTACACCCTGCTGAGGATCATCAACGTGGAGAAGCGGCGGGACACRGCACGGGGGAACCGCTACCTGCTGGAGCTGGAGCTGGCGGAGCGTGGCCAGCGCACCGTCCGGCTGTCCGAGTACGTCTATGTGCTGCTGCGCCAGGGCCGGCCGGACGACAGCACCGAGGCCAACGCTGACCTGGGGCCGGCCCCGGGGGCCACTGAGCCCCAGCCCAGCGCCTGGAGCATCCTCTATGGAAAGCCGGTGCTGTGCCGGCCGCTGCGGCTCAGCTGGAGGCAGGACGTCATGGTGCACTTCGTGGTGCCGGGTAGGCGGCGGCGGGATGCGGCTCTGTGGGGTCCCAGTGGGATCAGGGGCTCCTCTACCCCACGAGGGGTTGGTTTGGTGGGAAGGGGCACTGGGATCCCCCTGGTGAGCCCAAGGGTTGTGTCTCCCTCYGGCAGTGAAGAACCAGGCCCGCTGGGTGCAGCAGTTTATCTCGGACATGGCTGGGCTCTACGGGGCCACAAGGGATGCCAACTTCAACGTCATCCTGGTGGACTTTGACAGCGAGGACATGGATGTGGAGAAGGCTCTGCAGGACGCCCGCCTGCCCCGGTAACTCCCAGCCTTGGGGTCTGGGGGCTCCCCAGGGTGGGACGGGCGCTCGCACAACCCGCTGCTGCTCCTTCCCTGCCTGCACGGTCCCTGCCTTGCAGCTCCTTCCTCCTCCTCGTTTTTGGAGGGTTTAAACTATTTTCCTTGTGGATTTGGGGGTGCAGAAACTTGTGACTCTGTGGGGGGACCCTAAGCTTGAGCACTTGGGCCTTCCTGAGAAAGTTCTTTGCCCACGCCGGCGGTTCCTGTCTCCTTCCTGGCTGTGTCCCTGTCTGTCCCCAGCGCTATCTGCCCTGTCCTCTCTGTCCCCCCAGGTTCCAGTACCTGCGGCGCACGGGGAATTTTGAGCGCTCAGCCGGGCTCCAGGCCGGCGTGGACACGGTGGAGGTGAGGGGGTCAGGGACAGGGACAGCTCMGGCTATGGTTTGTCCCATGGGGCTGTGATCGCCCTCACCCACCCTCACCCCTCCCAGGACGAGCACAGCATCGTGTTCCTGTGCGACCTGCACATCCACTTCCCCACCAACATCCTGGACAGCATCCGCAAGCACTGCGTGGAGGGGAAGCTGGCCTACGCCCCCATCGTCATGAGGCTGAGCTGTGGCAGCTCCCCCCGCGAGCCCAATGGTCAGCAGGGACCCTTTTATGGCTGGGGACACCCCAAACCTGACTGTAACCCCCGTGGGAGGTGGCACGGGTGGGGACAGACCCGCCATGGGAAGAGGGGTCGGGATGGGGARTCCCCGCGGCTCCCTGGGGGTGGGGAGAGTACGGAGGGGACAATAGGGGCGTTTTCGGGTCACTCCCACCCCTGACCCCATTGTTCCCCCATCTCCAGGCTACTGGGAGGTGAATGGCTTCGGCCTCTTCGGCATCTACAAGTCGGACTTTGACCGCGTGGGAGGGATGAACACGGAGGAGTTCCGGGACCGCTGGGGCGGGGAGGACTGGGAGCTCCTGGACAGGTGAGCCTGGGCAGGGTCAGCCACGTGGGTTTGGGCACGTCCATCAGGCTGGCTGGGGGCTGGGTGGGCCAGGAGGGTCATGTCCRTCTGTCCCTCCATCCCTGAGCCCTTCCATCCCTCCGTCTGCAGGGTGCTCCAGAGCGGGCTGGAGGTGGAGCGCTTGCGCCTCAGGAACTTTTACCACTACTACCACTCCAAGCGCGGCATGTGGAACGCCCGCAGCAAGAAGCCCTCCAAGGACTAGCGCCCGAGCCTGGCCCGTGGCCACCGAGCCCCGGCCACTGCAGCCGCCGTGCCCCGGTGCCAGCACGGGGGGCACCCGACAGCCGCCGCGGTGATCCTGGGGTCGGGGACAGGATGGTGTTTTCCCTTAAGGGTCTAATTTCTTAGTCAGCAATGAATTTATCAACTCCTCGGTGCYGGTGGGTCCCGGGGGGGCTGCGCCAGGCTGGGGATACCCGAGGTGGAAAGGCGGCGTTGGGGATCCCTTTGCAGCCTCTTTCCCCCTAAAATACCCAGTGCCTCGTCCCCGTGTCAGGCTGGGGAGCTGAGCTTTGGGAGGGCTGTGAACCCAAACCCTCCTGCCGTCCTTCCAGGACCCACGGAGGGAAGGGGGCGTCTGGCTGTGCCCTGCGCTCGGGACACGCTGTGGGTGGGGGRCAGAGCCCCGTGGGGCTGGGGTGGGACAGGGCAGAGCCTGGAGCAGGTACGGGCAGATGACGTTTCCAAGCTAATTTCTGTGAAATTATGAGGTAGGAAGCTGTTTTCAGGAAGTTTTTGTCTGTTTGGTTCGGTTCGGTTTGTTTTTTTTTTTTTTTTTTTTTCTTTTTTTTTATTCTTAAAAAATTAAAATCAATGTCTCGGCTGGGATTTCCCTCCGCTCCATCACACCCATGCCCAGACAGGGACACGGGGCATGGGAGCCAGGTTGGCCTTTGTCCCTTGGTCCCTGGGAGTCCCCTCTCTGTGGTGGGAGGAGGAGGAGGAGGAGGAGGAGGGGGAGGAGGAGGAGGGAGGAGGCAGCGCCTTGTTTGATGCCCGGCCACACGCCCGGGCTTGCTGAGCCTCCGCCCCACACCCGGGCTCCACCCAGCTCCATGGGGGGCTGCCCTGGCTCCTGCATGTGCTGGCACACTTGTCCCCACCCACCCCCGTCCCAGCCCTGTGTCAGTGCTTCCCTTCACCCGTGTCTGTTTGTGGTGGCACCTTGAGGGTTCTGTCTTGTCCCACCTGCCACCAGCTTCTCAGCCAGGTCCCCCCATYCCCCAAATTCCCTGGGCTCCTCCCTGAAACAGCCTTGGAGTTTTCCCCAGATGTTTTACCCCACATCTGCATCTCCCAGGCTCACTCTTTGACGTGAGGATGAACAAGGGGGCTCAGCCACCTCCGTGCCACAGCAGAGGGATTTTTGTCCCAAATTTTGTCCCAAATTTGGTATTCTGTTGGGAAGGGCCCGTCCTGACAGGCAGGAGCTGTTTCTCCCCTCTCCTTGCTCTCCTTGCCCTGCTCCGTGTTTTTTGGGAGCGCTTTGGAAGCACTTTGTTGTGGGCGAGGGCTGCGCCGGGAGCTGGTCTGTGGCTGGGCAGAGCGGGTGGCCCCACGGCCCCCGGGCCACCAGTCCCATCCCAAAACCAGCCTGGCCTTAGGCACAGCTTTTCCAGCAGCCTCCCAGCCAGGAGAGCTCCAAAAGCCATCGGAGTGGGCACTGCAGCCAAATCCCGAGCTGCCGCCGGTGCYGGGAGGGCCTGGTGCCAGCAGTGCCATTCCCCACCGGTTTTGGGGACAGTTTGGGGCCAGCTGATGGTGTCTGCTTGGGCCAGGGCCAGCAGCACAGCAGCCACGGGATGACACGGGGATCACGAGGATTGCGGGAGACACAGGGAGCCTCTTGCTGGGGTGACAGTGGGGCACAGGCAGGTTGGCTCTCCCTGCCCCGTGGGGACGCTGCAGCTGCCCAGCCTGGGGGGCTCACGGAGGATGGGGGGAGCACAGGAACCTCCTGACACCCCTGGCCTGAGAGTGGCCACACGTGACAGCAGTGGCCATGGGGAGGGTCCTGGCACATCCCACCCTGCACCAAGCTTTGCCCGGGGGGGACCCCTCCTGGCGCTCCCGTTGAGTGTGGGGTGTGCTGGGGGGCCTGGTGAGAGGTACGTGGTGAYCCCCCAAACTGGTTTGGCCCGTTTGGAACGCTCCCTCTCAGCTTATCTGGCTTCAAAGGGCTCCTGCTCCATCCCACGCACACAAACAYGCTCCCTGCGAATGGGGGAGCCCCCTGCATCCCGAAATATGCCTGTGCCCCCCGAACTCTGCCCCCCCCCTCCATCTTCCCCTTCTGGCACCCCCAAACCCTCCCTGCTGCACCCACGGGTGCCCCGAGCTGGGCGTGCAGGGGGATGCGGTGGGAAGGASGCGTTGGATCGCGGCCACGGTGGCGGTGGGGATCCTTGGGGACTCTTTGTAGCATCACCAAGGTGACCGAGACGTGGCTCTGCTGTGAGGGCCGGACCCCCCAGACCCCGGGCTGCGCTGACGATTTCGGGGAGCCCCAAACTCGCAGGCTCAGCGGGGCGGCGAGCGGGTTCCACGCAAAAGCCCGGCGAGGAGACTGGTTGGGCGAGGAGCGGGGCGGGCCCTGCGCCCCACGCCCGCCGCAGACGCCGGCGCCCACCCGCGCCCCGCAGCACCCAGGGGTGCACCTGCCCGCCCGAGGATGCTGCAGGACGGCGGACCCCCGGGGCCACYAGCCCAGGTACGTGCCAGCCGCTCCCGCGGCCGTCGAGTCGCTGTCCCCACCGCGGGTCACCCTCCCTGTCAACCCCTCTGTCCCCATGCGCTGGCCGGCGCGGTGCCGGGGCTCTGGGGCTCCATCGCCTGGGTCTGGTGGTCGCCCAGCCCCGGCCAACCCCGGCCAGGGGGCTGTCCCCTCCCTCCCTGCGCCTCGGTGTCCCCAGCGCGGCTCCTGGCACGTGCSCGCGGTGGCCACGGCGGCCACTCCCCGCCCTAACGCCGCTGGCCCCGGCGGGCACGGCCAGCCAGCCCTGGGGGCTCGGGCGTGGGGACGGGCGCTCGGTGCCGCTCGGGGGCTGGGTGCGAGAGGACGCGGCGCTCCCAGGAGCCGGGGCTCCCCGGGAATGTGGCTCTGTCACCCCGCGAGGGAGTGACAGAGGCTGGGGGGGATCAGCGACCGCTTTAGGGATCCCCAGATCGGATTCATTTAACTCCGGCGGTGGTCGGATCCCTTCGGGAATCCCTCAGATTTGCTCCAAATGTTTTCTTTTCGCTGATTTGCTGTTTTTAAGCCCCCTGATGTAACCCACTCCCCTCCGACCCTTCCCCAATTAACGAGCTGCTTGATGRGGTAAGCACTGCCCATTCCAGCTCCAAACATCCCTCAGATCCCCCGGGACCCCCAAATTTCCACCTGGCAGCTACCGGGCAGTGTCATTCCGTGGGGATCGGGGTTTGGGTGGGAGGCAGAACCGGGGGAAAGCGGGGCTGGTCAGCGAGCTCGGGGTTGTCACCGGAGCCCCTCTGTCCCCCGGGGCTGGGGGGCTCCCGCGATGGCCCCGATCCCCCGGGGTGCTGGCACGGGGACGGCGGGCAAGCGTTGGCTTGCAGAGGGAGCGATCCACCCCCTCGATCCGCCCGCTGCGGGGGGAACCCGTGATTCATCCGGGCTCGGAGGGCTGGGAGCGCCCGCCGAGCTCTGCCAAAGCCGGTGCGCCCGTGGGGCGGTGCCGCGGCGGGAGAACGGGGGACGCCTCGGGGGTTTTCCTGGGTGCTGTACCCTAAAAAGGGTGGAAAGGGGCTCCCCCAAACCCCCGAGCTGGGCAGGTGGGTTTCCCCCCGCGTCGGTCCTCGGCGCATGGGGATGGTGCCACCGAGGAGGATTTAGAGTCAGGGKACTGTCACCCCAAAGCGCTGGCCCGCAGCTCTCGCCACCCCGCCCCTGCCGCGGCTTCTGCTGACGGCGGCACATTCCCCGGGGACAGCCGCCCTTTTCACCCCCGACCGAAGCGCACACGGTGTCACCGCCGGCTGTTGTAAACCCGGCCCAGCCCGGAACGCCGCTGTCGCTGGCGGAGCGGTGACGCCAAGCGCTGAGCCGGGGCTGGCCGCAGAGCCCGGCCCGAGTGGCCACGCTCACCCCAAAGCACCCGGCCGGTGACCCCGGGGTCGGGGCTCCGGTCAGCGGCGAGCCGGGGCTGCGGGCGAGCGGCGTGGCCGGGCAGCGGGGGGATTTGGGGAGCCGGGGGGACGGGGATCGGGCTGGGACGGGGCGGCTCGGTGGGGCGAGGCTAATTAGTACCTGCGGTGGCAGCGGGGCCTGACTCACCGCGTTCGTCRCCGCCGGCCCGCGGCGCTCAGCCGCCTCTTTTTTTATTATTGTTGTTCTTTCATTCCCCGGCTGATTTGAAAAGCAAAGCAGGGAGAGCCCGGCCCGGAATTACTGCGGGGAGCCCCCACTCCAAGCCGGACCCCCGTGCTCCAGGGGCGTTCAGAGCACTCCTGGAAAGTGGCTTTAGGGAGTTGGGGGTCCCCGTGGAGGCTGCCCGGGGCTTTGTGTCAGGGGYTGAGGGGTGTCCCTGGGAGTCTGGGACACTCCTGGGAGGCCATGTGGGGTGTGGGGCTCATTGGAGTGACAATGTGGGGGTCCACAGCTGCATAGAGAGGTCGTGTGGGAATCCAGAGTGCTCTCCTAGGAGGTTTCCTGGGGGTCTTGAGCTCATTGGAGGGACATTATAGGGGTCTGGGTTTCAGTGGCAGGGCCATGTGAGACTCTGGAGATCAACGGGAAGGTTGTCCAGGGGTCTGGGGCTCTCCTAGGAGACCACATGAGATTCTGGGGCTCACTGGAGGAACAGTGTGGCTCTCCAGGGTTCAATGGCAGGGATCTCTGGGATCAGTGGGGAGGCTTTGGGGGTGGGGGGGGGTGGGGGGGGGAGGGTCCAGGGCTCTTCTGTGAGGTTGCCTGAGGGTCTTGGGCTCAGGGGCTCTTGGGCCAATGAGCCAGGACATTGTGTGGGTCTGGGGGTCTCTGCGGTGGCTGTCCAGCAGTCAGGGTCATCCTGAGTGGTCTCTGAGACTGTCTGAGGGGATCCTGGGCTTTTCCCAAGGTAGGACCCCYCAGACCCCTGGACCACCCGCCTCCCCCACACCCTCGTCCGCGCGAGGTCACCCCTGAGCACCTCCACCTGTGACAGTGACGGTGGTGTCGGTGACGATGGTGACAGTGCCTCCGGTGGGGCCCCCTCCTTTTCCCGGCGAGGCGTGGCGGCGGGGCGGGACGGACGGGCCGGGACGGAGCCTCCCCACGGCTGGGGAACGCCGGAACGCCGCCACCGCCGCCGCCGCTCACCTGCGCAGGGCGGCCGGGCTGGCCGCGGCCCCTCGCTGCCATGCAGGAGACTAACGCCTTCCTGCTGTCCGCCCTGCAGCCCGAGGCCGGCGTCTGCTCGCTGGCCTTGCCCTCGGACCGGCAGCTGGACGAGCGTGGCCGGGARGCGGCCGAAGCGCAGCGGCTGCGCAGCGCCCGCGTCCAGGAGCAGGTCCGCATCCGCATGATGCTGCGGGGCCAAGCGCCCGCCCGGCCCGAGGACCTCGCCGACGGCGTCAGAGGTGGGAGACCCCCGGGACCCCCCGGGCACCCGCGCTGGGACGGGCGGTGGGAGCCCCTCGGCCGGCACCGGGCTCCGGGCACGCTACGGTGTCCCCCCGCCCCGTCCGAGCCCCCCGAATGCCCCCGGGCACCCCCGGCACTGGCACCGGGGCAGCTCAGCCCCAGCGTGGGCTCGTTTCACCCCGCTCGGGGTCC